ACATCATTGTGTGTTAGCAATGACTCAAAATTGGATTTTTTTACAGGTAATAAAAGAACATTATTTACTATCAAATTTAATAGTCAGAACTTCGATTTGTTATATTCTTACAGAAATAGTTACAATTGACGCTGGAGATTGCGAGCATGCCTTTGTAATCAAAAACGGAGATGTTATGGCCAAAAGAGTGGCTGACTGGGTAAGCTACCAATCTCATATCGTTAGCTCATAACATGTTCCACTTGCAGATAGCTGCTTTTATAAAATAGTGCTAAAAGCTTTTAAAATAGAACGCTATTAGCGCAAGTTTCAGTTTGACGTTGACTGTTTTATTTCTTATAGAATCCTAATGTCATCACTCATTAAATCCAATGGCTAAATGTTAATGTTTTATTTTTTTGGGAAGGTTCACTTATTAAAGTAAAAAGTCCAACACATGAAAAAAACAAACGCTGAGCATACACATGATTGTCTAACACAGCAATAGTGTTTTTGATTTTTTTTTTAATGGCATTCTAGTTTTTTTAATTGAATTATCGTTTTTGAAAGCACTATATATTTTCTAGTATCGTGTTGCTGTCGAAAGGTCTGAAAACTAATCAGGAAAGTGTAGTAGGCATACAAGTTTTGGCTATTTTATACTCCTTCGGCAACGAATTTGATGGGTGCTAACGTTACTTCTGCATAGTTTGATATCCCAGTAGTATGTATTATTTGTTGTAATTGTTAATTTCTCTAATAAGAGTTATAACAGATTCCTTAACTTTCAAGTATGAGTATAATAAAGAAAGGGAACATCTCGTTCATATTATTTCTGCTTACACTGATAGAGCTCAATATTTTAGTTTATTCACCAGAAACTGCTTAACAATTTCTTTCTGAACGGTCAAAAATTTTTCTATTCACTAGCTGCGCTAATCACATAATTTTCAAGCATTTTACTGAGACGATACGAGGCTTAACGATGGTTTAGGCTGTGCAGAAAGCCATTATGTTCCTGTTTTGCTGCACAAAAAAAATAACAGCACTTCTGACTGACTAGAGAGGGAGATCAGAAAAGTAACCATATTAGCTACATGCGGAACATCTGGTTATTCACAATTTCGGAAAGATCAGTACAATATAAGGCAGCCGAGGGTTGGATTTCCATACTCCGTAATGGCTGCTTTTGAAGTTGTTCTTCAAATCTTCCGTACAGACTTAATCGTCACGTTGAAGAAGCCACATTATTGTTGGAATACGCATTCTGATACTGGTAATCATTTTTTCGTTTAGTCGTGTTATTATTGATTTCATTTTTAAGCTCCTTATTTAACTCTGCATAAGTTGCTTCCATTTGTTTCCGACATTCCTGTAATAGGTCGTCGACATCATCGAACTCACTGGATTCTATTGGCGGCAAAGCTTTAACTATAACATGACCACCATAGTCAAATCTCCTTTCAGCCTAAAAGTACATAAAATTAGCAGTAAGTTGTGTAGTAACCATGTAACTTAAACAACATCTTCAGTAAAGTTCCTTACAAGGTCATAGAAATTTCGATGCGAAGAAAACACGACTGGTACGATTGGGATCTGAAAAAAAAATCGTTACTCAAGAAAGCTGTGAATTATTTTTTAAAATAACAATGTATTGTGGAAACTGAATGTTAAGTGTCAATCAACTTCTTATCTAAAAGAAAAATGTAGGTTGAGGAAATGTTGGCTGAAGATTTACATTCGCCCTTTTTGCGATCAAGAATGCTCCCTTTTTGAACGGTAACATGTTTCCACCAGCATCTCTTGTTCCTTCTGGGTAAATCCAAATTTTTCTCTGCAAGAAAGTGTAAAAATTAATTAGTGGAATAGCTGGACGTCTTCATAATTGAAAAAGAATTATTATTTAACAACGATTAGTGCTTAAATTCCACTTTATTTTCTCACCTGATGCTTTCTTACCGCATCCACAACATTATCAACAGCTCTATGGGCATGCGTTTTGCTGAACCGGTCAATAAAAATTGAATTACAGAGAAAGGTACAGAGATTAAATCCTGGTGCAAACTTGAGGCTACTTTTCAGCAAAACTACACAATTTTCTGGCCAGATAAAGGACATCCCTAAAAATTATGTTATCATTGAGTAATTCGTCGAGTAATAGGGTGTAAAAAATAGCCTATAGTTGTTGCACGCACATTAGCTGATTAACGGAGACAAAAAATCACGAAATATTAATTTTATTTTTAAAATCCTTACCTAAGACATCGATAATTGTTTGATGATTCGCAATCAGAACAAACGGTTTGTCGGAAACGATATTTTTCACGTCCCGCAGTTCAAAGGTTAAACCCATCCAAAAGGTGATGATATGAAAGATATTGAAAATACGACTAAAAAGACAAGGACCATTGCGCATATTTCAATCATACAAAAGAATGGAAACTTATTTAGGCAGTTAATGTGAGTTTTATCCCAGAAATGTGCCGTTTTAATATGCGAGTATGACAATAATTAAATTTTATAAAGACTCTGTAGTGTTTCAAAAAAAAAAAAAAAAGAATGCCAATGATAACAGCGTAACTTACAAATGGTTATTTGGTGTTCTACCATGTGGAATTGACAGTGTTCCGCCAACTGTTGCTGCAATGAATATGCATAACAGATATGCAGCCATACGCATCCGAAATCGGAAGCTGGCTGATGAAAGCCATAGAATATTAAATATTAGTGAAAGAACTAATAAAACGTAGAACAGAAATTGCAGCTCCATTACACTGCGGATGTTTCAGGGACGGAATTCGGATTAAAGCGTATGCTTCTGGAAGATGATGGCAAACGCCTTGTTTAGTAATTTTTGCCAAGGAATTTTTTAGCGTTTTTCCTTTCGTTCCTTTGATAGGCTTTTGCAGAATGAACAACTGGACAAAACTTGCTCAGTAAGTTCTTCTTTTTTTATGGGACTACACGCATCAGGAACACTACTCTACTAACAAAAACTACAACAAAACGACAGAATACGTTTATTGATTGAGACCAAAGTAAACATGAAAAAATGTTAGGAATTACAAACATCTAAAAAAGAGAACTTCCTTGTTCATGCAGAAAAAAGAGTATGCGTTGTGCTTACATATATCATTATATTCTTTTGGATAAACAAATTAGATCTTCTACTGGCAGAACATTAGTGCAACTAAGGGTAAAACTATATGTTAAGTAGCAGTAATAATAAGTCCAAGTGACGTTTTTTTTCCCTTTATCTAAGTCAACAAAATTAAGCCTCCTTCAAGTTTTTATTTTCTTGTTTTATGCATCTCTAATCAGGCATAAGAGTATGCCACGTCAGTTTAACTTTTATTCAGGAGATAAAATTGTAAGATTTTTCGGACGTCCTCATATGCCCCCTACGTTTTCTTTTTATTTTTTTTTCTTCCACTTTCCTGTTAAAAAAATCGATGCTTAGTTGAAAGAATTGCCTTTGAATGCTTATTGTCTCTAAGGAAGGCGTAAAAAATAAGCAAAATTATGGAACGTAGTACGAAAAGAAAAATGTATTTCACAACAAAATTGACTGGTCTTTTTTTTTTTTTTTGTCAAATTTAAAATTAGCACAGAATCACAGTGACGGAAAAAAAACTAAAAGAATGTACGTGTAGAAGAAGTTTCAAAGCTAAGCAGCCGAAGAATTAGTGCTGTACAGTAGCTGAAAAATTCATTGTACAATAAAATGTACAATAAATGTTGCTACGTAATCAGAATTCCAAAAAAAAAAAAACAGAAAAATTAGTTGCAGAGGTGAACACCTGATGTCCTATGTATCAGAAGGCAGATTTACATGGATGAAACTGCTGATACCAATCAATGGGAACCATCGATATAATAGACTGCCGCTTCCAATATGGCAATATGAAGGAGTAAACGAGCAAAAAAAGGAAATAGGATAGGAGGTAAAGAAAAAAAAAAAGATGGGGAATTTTTAAATGGACATTTAAATAAACAGCAAAGCAAAAAACTGAACAACAACAAAAAAGAAACGACAAAAATTGTAATAAATCCGTTAAGCTGAAGTTGTTGTTCAGAGAATATAAACTGCTGCTGCAATAATCGACAGAAGTTTTTTTTGTTTATATGTTTGTTTGTTTGTTTGTTTGTTTTAATGACAGCGGTGGTAAATTAGAACAGACATCTGAGGACTTCAATAATAGCAAAAAATAATAGCAGTACTTTTTGCAAACGGCAGCAGAATAAAAGGAACGGAAACAGCAAAAAGAAAAAAAAAGCCTCACGTCCGCGATAAACAGATAAGTTACAGCAATCAGTGATCAGCTGTAAGGTTTCGGTATAAAAATGAACCAAAGAAAGTGAAATAAAATTTTAAGATATAGCGAAAGCTCATATAATACTTTAGCAATATTACTTTGGCCGTTTTTACTTTGGCCTAAGCCGTTTTTTCCTGCTTTTTTTTCTGCTATATCACTCTCTGTTTACGCGCAACGATTCGCGCAATGGATAAGGCAGAAGTTGTTATCAGCAATCAAAAAAAAATTGAAGGAAATAAAATAAAGTAAGGCAAAATGGGGTAGCGACGACGACAACGACAACGACGAGTCCATTTGAGTCCTAAAAGATAAAAAGATAAAAAAAACTGGTTGAGACAAAAAAAGAAACTTATATAGAACACAGTTAAAGTATTTGCTGCTGTTGCTACTGCAAAAAAAAAAAAAAGTTGAAACCAGTCGAAAAGAGTAAAAGAATTGCAAACCAAAAATTGTTCTTGTGCTTCTTCCTTTTTTATTTCACTTTTTCTTTTTACTTTTTTTTTTGGAGAGGGTAAAAATGTGAAAAAAAAATTATAGAATTATAACAGTTATGCAAAAACAAATCTTCAAATTATATCTATACTCTGTTATACAGCAAATACAAAGTGTTTCTTTTAATGATTACATTATTATATGCAAAATTTTGCTGAATTATATTCAACAAAAATAAAAAATGAGGAAATGAAGAAGAGGGAAAATGAAGGAAAAACATTTTTTGTTTTAACCAATATTTTTATTCTTATAAAATGGTCAACAAATCGATCGTCTCAGCTAAACCTCCGACTAAATCTATCAATTTTATCTAAAAAAAAAACCCTTGTAAGTGTTATCAGCAAATCAGTTATCATTTGCTTAACAGACTGATTATCTACAAAAAACGGTTGTCAAAAAAGACGGCAACAAAATATTTTACCTAATAAAATTTTAACAACAAAGACAGTTTTTTTTTTATTATAAATTTAATAAAAAGTTATTGCTAACAAATGAATTATTGTTTAGCAGTAGTTAAATTTTTTTTGGTTTATTCCCATCAATTTGAATATTTAAAAGAAAGTGAAAAAAAGAAAGATAGGGGAAAAAAACCATTTATATTCTAACCAAATAAGCTTAATACTGGGTTTCTAAGCACAAATGAGCAACTGAACATAAAACCTTTCTTACTGAACAATGTCTAAAACTTTTATTAAAGATAATCTGTACAGTTATAATGATTAAAGAAAATGTTCTCTACTTTTTACTGAGACCAACAGAATACCTATCAAATAATACAAGAAATATCAAAATAAACTAAATTAGCCATTGATGATAGTTGCTGGTCAAAAAGACTAAGAACCGAAATCGGAACACCATCAATCAATGTATCAAAGAAGAAAATTGATTGACAAAAAAAAAAAACAAATAATTACTGGAAAAAATTAGCAAAAAAATAGAAGAAAGTAAACAGGAGTCTTGTCAAAGATTTCTATATTTGTTTTTCAGTTTGATTAGAAAATGTTACACGGAGAAAAACAAAAAATGCTGCAGAAAAATGACAAATAATGAAGAAATGTATCGATCTTCAATCCCAATTTGCCCTAAGCGTACGGTTTATCAAACATTTGTGAACTTTGATCATCAATTGATAGCTCTTCTAATTACCCAAGGTTTGAAAAAAAATATAAATAATAAAAAAAAAAAAATGGGGTCAAAATCCAAAAAAAGATTTTTTTCCTTCAATGATACAAAGTTCGGGATTCTGCACCATCAACAAGCAAGCAAAACGGCACTGAAAAACTATATGATACAAAATAAAAAAAAGCGAAAAAAAAAGCAAATGATACTTCAATAATACGTGTCAAAATGGAATTTTAAGGCAATTTTGATGTATATCATCGGGTCAGTATGATCGAATACTAACTCAGAATCTCTACAACATCTTAAAAACTGTTCCATTTGATAGCAACAACTGATTGGTACAGCGGTCTAAGAGAACCAAAGAAGAAAATGAAGAAAAAAAAGCGATAAAAATATGAACTTTCTTAGCGTAACAAGTTCAACGTTATATTATAGCTTAAGACTAACAACTAAGATCAATAAATGTCAACGAAAACATTTCAATTTCTGATGCTGCTGCTGCTGTTGCTGTTTTTTTTGCACTCCTCTTCTCTACCTCGGCAATAAAAATGCTGTTGTTATTGACCAGAATTCAGTTTACTATTTGGTTGAAATCAACAACAATTCTGAATGATTGGCCGATGACGACTGACTTAATTATTTGGATGAACAAATAGAAAGCAACAATTTTTTTTTGTACATACATTTTTCACTCTTTGCTTCAGTTTTATTTATTTATCTATTTTTTGCACTAGAAATTTTTCATGTACTTTAGCGGTAAATATATCAAAACAGCGCTGAACAATAGTTACAGCCAACAAATATTCTATGCTTTCTATTAGCTATTGAAAAAAAAAAAAACAGAAGAAGCAATTTTTATGAACTACAGATGATGTACTACAGAAAAAGCGTACTAACTGATCAATGATCTAATAAACATAATTATTCTACGGCAACATACTCTTGATATATGATTAATAATGACTCGAAAAATTCTTTGTTTTCTTTTTTCTATTAAAAAATTAGCCAAATTTTCAATACTTTTCAAAGATAAATCTAGTAGAAATAGTACTTCACTGAAAAAAAAAAAGAAACACAAGCACTATAAAAAAGGACAATAAGTGAATAGAGTCTGCAAGAAACAAATCAATTACAGTGAATAGGTGAAACAGTGTGAAATAAATTGCATATTTATAAACGTTCTCTAATAATTTATGCATAACTGTTTTCCAACAGTCGACTTATTTCAAAAGAATAAAATTCAATTCAGTAATCAATGCTATTAGATGTTTAAAAAAAAAATTTTTTTTTGCTGATTAAATTTTTTAATTCATTAATAATTTGTTGCAGAATTTAGTTGCCACCATAACACTGATATCTAAGTTTAGACAAATGATGCAGTTCCTGTCCAGTTTCAAATGTTTCAGCTTAATCGTCATTGAAAGGCAATAAGAATTATTTCTTCCTCTGTGTTTTTGCCTACTCCAATGTATAAATTTACAAATCACATACAGTATGTATTTAATTCGAAAATGAAACATTTAAATTACACATAGATGAATGTTGCACAGCAATAACCACCATATAATAGTAGTCACAACACCAGTAGCATCAGTAGCATCTTAGTCGTCGTCAGCAGCAAAAGTAACAGCAACTGGAACAGCAACAATGAAGATGCTAGGCAAATAATCGATTTAAGTGAGAAAAAAAAATGAATCATTTTGATCATCAATTCATACCTTTACTTGCTT